GATTGTTTTAAACATATTAATTCAGTCAGTGACCATAATTATGGAATATCATTACATTTTTAAATATATGAACTACCATGTAATACAAGTAACCACAATGACAAAGGCTATCCTGAATTACACATTAATCTTTTACTACAACTAAGTTTTAAAATAAATCATTTGATTTTGAAATATCTATTTTTCTTCAATGAAAGTCAATGTCAAGTTAGGTCTAATTTTATGGTTCAAACGCAATTTTCCTCCAGCACACTACAAAATGTTAAATACCAAGGAAGACAATAATTTAAAAAAAAAAAAAGTCAGCTGTAATGTAACAGGAAATTTCCTGTAGAAATGATTTTGAGGTTCTACAGGTCACAAAGAAGAGATACACATGGTTAATCATAAATCCATCTAAAGATAGTTTATTTCTATCATCTTTCATTTTTAATGGGGGCTTAAGCAACTTTCTGGGATGGACGGTTGTAAATTTAATAATATTTCAATTCACTACTAGTTTCCGTTGATTTTTCTTTCATTTTAATCTGTTTTGATAGATTAATGTTGTCTTCTGACTTCCAAATGGCAGGTTGAGGAAGAAAAATGATATGCATTGAGTTGTACTTCTACTAGAAAGAGTACTAACCTGGGAATCAAGACCTGTGTCCAAGGCTTGGTCATTCACTACTGCTTATCATTCCTAAGAAAGTCACTACATCTCTCTGGGACTCAGGTTCCTCCTACTTAAAATGAAACAACAATATTTGCCATAATTCACTAATTGTTGTGATAAGCAGATAAGAAAACAAGGAATACTTACTACTAGATAGTACCTAAATTCAAAACAACCAAATAAACCCATTACTAAAGAAAAATTCCAGTCAGCCCTCCGTATCTACAGGTTCTGCATACAGGGATTCAACCAACCGTGGATCAAAAATATTTAGGGAAAAAAATGCATCTGTACTGAACATATAAAGACTTTTTTCTTGTCATTATTCCCTAAACAATATAGTACGACAACTATTTACACTGTATTAAGTATTACAGGTAATGTAGAAATTATTTAAAGTATATAGGAACTGGGCTTAGTGGCACACATCTATAATCCCAATGACTCAGGAGGCTGAGGCGAAGATTGCAAACTTAAGACTAGTATCATTAATTAGGGAGTCCCTGTCGCAAAATGAAAACTAAAAGGGGCAGGGAATGTGGCTCAGTGATTAAGTGCCCCTGGGATCAATCTCCATTACCAAAAGTAAAAATAAAGTATACAGGAGAATATGTGTAGATTATATGCAAATACTATACCATTTTATATAAGGGACTTGCATATGTAAATTTTGATATCCATGGAGGATTCTGGAACCAGTCCCCCATGGATACCAAGGGACAACTGTATTTTTAAAAGCTTTTTAAATTAGGCAAAGAAAATATGCTTCTTTAAGGATTAAAAATATCAAAGTGGGCACTCAAGAAAATTAGAAACCAGACCTCAGTGTTGTTGGATCCTTAAATTTTGGATAATTGAAATAAGTTTCTTTCGATAAATTGAGTTTGAATAATTTCAAATGTTGCTACAGTTACCATAGCACCAGACAGGACCAGTCAGTTGGGGCAATCAATAATAACCATCAACAAGTGTCTCTGCATTTTCTAGCATAACAGCCTCAAGAAAGTTTCTACTCAAAGTGGTACCTCTATGCTTTTACTTCTCTGAAAAAGAAAGTGCCAAAATGCTTAATAAATTAACAGGATCAAGTGAGTTTTCAGAATAAACCAAGTAATAAAAAAAATACCAAGATTTGGGGTATTTTAAGTATTAATATCCTTAAACAAAAGGTTTTGTCTGGGTACATTTATCACTGCTATTATCCAGGAAGAGACACCAGACAAATGAACCTATTGACAACTTAATCTGAATGTTTCTTTAGCTGCTATATTAATAAAAGGTAATATAATACATTGTAAATATGTATTCAATAAAACAAGAGCTTTCAATCTCTTGATTATTATTGGATACCCAAATTCAAACAAGCCAAACCATCCCTCAAACAATTCAGAGCATGGAGCTATGCAAATATTAACTTAGCTTGCCTCCCAGCTGGCAACCCAGACAGAGTTCAATCTGGTTACACATTCAGAAGAAAAAGAACTGCCAATGTCATTTAATTCACTGTCCTATTGAACTCCTTTATCTAACAACTGTCCTCCACCTAAGAACCACTGCTTAGATATTAGTTCTAATATTAACTTTAACTTGTATGTGATAGGATTAGTGATGGGGTGATGACTAGGAGAATCTTTATGTGAAACTTCATAAAGATCCCTTCATCCTCTGGCAATTCCAAAACAAAAAGATCTTTACATGCCTATATGACATTTATGCCCATGGGGGGGGGGAACTATAGACAAAAGTGTATTGAGGGACCTTAACCAAATGCATTCCTAATAAAAATACATTATCAAAAAGTTTATCCTAGACAGATGCAGTGGCTCACTCCTGTAATCCCAGTGGTTTAGGAGGCTGATGCAAGAGGATTGCCAAGTTCAAAGCCAGCCTCAGCCACTTGGCAAGGCCCTAAGCAACTTAGCGATATGCTGTCTCAAAGAAAAAAACAAAACAGACTGGGAATGTGACTCAGTGGTTAAGCAACCCTGGGATCAATCCCCGATATCAAAAAAAAAAAGAAAGAAAAAGAAAAAGGAAAAAAATTTATCCCCCCCCCCTTTTTTTTTTGAGAGAGAGAGAGAGAGAGAATTTTTTAATATTTATTTTTTTAGTTTTCAGCAGACACAACATCTTTGTTTGTATGTGGTGCTGAGGATCGAACCCGGGCCGCACGCATGGCAGGCGAGCGCGTTACCACTTGAGCCACATCCCCAGCCCCAATCCCTTTTTTTTAGATTATCTGAAAAAAGAAAACTTCATCTACCATCTGCCACCTAACACACACATCTTCTTTTTCATTAGTCAACATTTCCTTCAAATCCATATCTGAGCACAAACAGAATTTTACTCAAAGACATGATCTATACCTAATATTTATTTATTTTTATGCATTTTTAATAAGTTATTATTGTGGTGCTAGGGATCAAACCCTGGACCTTGCACATGTTATGCATGAGCTCTACTACTGAACTACACCCTGAAACCCCACACTTAATTTAGAAAAAGCTTTCTGAAACTAACTTAAGTCCTATAGATCCCTAATGTTCCTTGGATGTGCCTCAGAAGCTACCACAAAGAAAGGACTTTCCAGCAAGCAGTAGTGGGAGTTTATTCTCCTTCCCTCAACTTTTCTATCCCCACTCCTGATTCAGTCAGAACAGTTACATTTTTATCTGTTTTGAATTTTGAGGTCCTGTGTAAAAAAACTTTATTTGAAAGTTAAACAACAAAAAAAAATGGTTCTATGCTTCTGGGTATTTAAAAACTAAGAATGTACAGAATCATGGAATTTTAGAGCTAGAAAGAAACTTAGAGCCAATATTTTTATTGTATGGATGTTGAGTAAGCTTAGACTTACTCAAGCTTTTATAGTAATTAGGAACTACATTTAGACTTTAGGTCTTCATCCCTAACACAAAGGCCCTATTCCTAATTCAAGAACTATTTATTTATTCATTCATTCATTCATCCATTCATTTAATATATATCAAATTCTACTATGTGCCAGGTACCACTTTGAGCGCTGAGGTTTTTAAAATCTTGCCATTATGGTGCTTACAGTTTAGTAGAAGAAGACAGACAATAAATGAGTAAACAGTATATAAGAAGGTAATGAAATAAAGGATGGTGGTACAGGCATGAGGGTGAGAACATTACAGATTATAATTGGTGAATTTCCACAAAAATCACTGCTGTTAAGTCTTTATGTACCTTGTAGCAATATGTATGTGCTGTAACATTCATTAATTTAGGCCCACTAATTAACAAGAGGAAATAATCAATTGATAAATCTATCTAAAATTTCCATCTATTTTTTTAATGGCATACAAAGCAAATTAGTATACTATTAATACACAGGATATTAAAACTACTTGGCAAAAATATTAACTAGAACCCCCCAAAACACACATGAACATGATATTTGTCATTGTACTTGGCTCTAGGAGAAGCAAAGAAAGTGGCAAAAAAAGAAGTGAGGAGACCTGGCTGCCAGGCTTATTCTGCTAGATAATATCGGAGATGATTGAGTTCTCCGAGCCTCAGTTTCCTGTAAAATAAGGAGGCTAGAGAGTAGATATTTTTGAGGTCTGGTGCTACCGTTCAAATATTGAAGCCCTTTAATGTGTCAAAAGAATTATGTAATATTTTAGTAGCCGTATCCGTATTATTATTTGAATTTAAAGAAATCCAAATAATAACACATTACATTTATAGAGTTCTCAGTTCTCGATGTGTTTCACATGCACTATTTTCATCTGTCAAGTCATATGACAGCCTTTTTCTTTTCTTTCTTTTTTTTTTTTTCCATGTTCTAATAAGGCTGGTCCCTCAGTCAATCCAAGGTCCAAGGTAATATGAAGTTTCCTGTGCTCTATGGGCCATACTCTGAATCCAGTATGGCTCTGGCCAAAGAAACCAGAAAGCACCTTACAGAGAGACTTGCAGAGTTAGGGGTACCATTTAATAGGAATAATGAGATACACAAACACTTGCCACTATACCAGCGGTAAGCACAGGGATTGGGGACTAGAATGCAAATTTTAAAGATTCTTGCCATACTAAATATATGTCAAAAGTCTTTTAAAAATCTGTGTACTTTCAATTAGGAATCATACTTCTAGAAATACTTCCTAAGGAAACAATCAAAAATTTGACCAAAGATTTAGGTATGAAGATGCTGGTCACAGCCCAATTCTTAGTAGCAAAAACTTATACACAACTTAAATTTCCTAAAGCAACCACATGAATTATGGCATATCCAAATACTATATTGTTTTTAAATAAATTATTATTAAATTATTATTTTAAAGAATATTTATATAACATGGACTAAATGTTACCAATATTACTATAGGTGGAAAATCTGGAAATGAGGTAAACACATTTTGTATAATACCTCATAATTTTTTAACAACTACATACAGAAAAAAGATGGAAAAATACATTAGGATATTACAGTGGTTTTTTCTAGGCTATGAAATTACAGATGATTTTGTTGTCCTATAATTTTATAATAAGCATACATTATTTTCATAATCAGAAACTTAAAATTATTATTTTTTAAATTTCCTTTTCTACCTACCTCACAAAGTAGTGATGATAACCAACATAGAAAGAGCTTTCTAATAGTAATTATTGTCCTAAAACATAATCCCTAGAAAGAGGGTTCAAGCCAGTACTGGGTGACCATATGGGCCCTGATTAGGTTAGACTTTAGGAACCTTGGATTCTAGAGCCTCTGTGAATCTCTCTGCCCACAGGATATGTCTGCGTTTTTGACAAGACTGTACTGGATTGGCCCCATCCTTCCCACCTGGGGTCCTGATGCTCATTGACATGCACTATCAGGGGTAAAGCAAATAGTAAGTCGTCAAGAAAGAGAGATTCTCTGGGGACAAACCCTAGTACTCAAAGGCCACTATGCCCTTACCAGCTTCCAACACCCAAAGTGGCAAAGGCCCTTCTGCCCAGAAAACATGTTGCTAGGACCTCTGCTACTGGCTCTGGGGTACTATGCTCATGGTTCAAGTTTTCTTCCCTGAAGACCAAAACTCGTTCTAAGGCTTCACTCTGTAGCTGTAGTCCTACACTTACCAGAGAGAAAAAAGTAAAAATGAAATTATAAAAAACCCTCAGACAGTTTTTGTTTGTTCCACCATTGCTTTGATCCACTGTTTTAAAAGGCAGTGTACCTGGGTAAAGATTAGGCTTGGTTACAATACAGTACAGGCACCTTAACTCATACCTGTAACCCTCCCTACAAGCACCTATCCTGACAAAGGAAAAATGCGACCCAAAGAAGAAAAGTGACCTGTTGAAGGCTAAGCAGAAAGTTGCTCACAAACCAAGGCAAGAACCCAACTGTCCAGACTTCCAATTCAATGTGTTACATTACAGAATCTCGTAACCTTCCAGGGACTCTGGCATCTGATAGTAGGAGGGAGTCCATACTCTTACACCTACTATGGTTATCTTTACCCTGAATTAAGGATATATTAGTCATTAAATTCCCAATGACAAAGACATGAGGAAATAGAAAGTTTACACATGGGAGTAAGGTCTAATTGACAGTGGGCAAACAGAGAAAGACAGAACATTATAGGAATATATAGGCATATGAAGTAACATAGAATTGAAGTTCTATGAAGGAAAAAAATGGCAAACAGCATCTCATGCTAAGTAGATACACAAAGTTGCAATCATCCATAAAGCTCACCAGAGAAGACAGCAGAGATATTCTGCAGGGAACAAAAGAGGCTGAAGTGATAGAAGAAATGGGTATTTAGGGCTGGGGTTGTGGCTCAGCAGTAGAGTGCTTGTCTTGCTTGCATGAGCACTGGGTTCAATCCTCAGCACCACATAAATAAATAAAATAAAGGTATTGTGCCCATCTACAACAACAAAAAAATGTGTATTTAGGAAAGACAATCTATTTCTACCTAATTTCTTGGTCTTCCTTTGCTTGGCTGCAGACGTGCTATCGTTGAACAGTAAACAGTTATATGACAGAGCATAACAAATGTGACAATGCTGAAAGAGTAAATATTACATTCTGGAATACCCCTTTAAGATGGCAACTCTATTACCCATGGAGTAGGACAGGAGTTTGGTGTGCTATATTTTTCCCACCATTCCATATTTTCATATTCTCAGAAAATAAAAACAGAAGATGGGGCAGCATCTGGAGAAAGAGAAAGAAAGATTAGGGTAGAGGAAAGAACAAACGAGCATATTTTAATAGTAAATAAGCTAGATGACAAACCTGGAAGCATATGGTTTTTTTCTTTCTAATAAAAAAGAAAGTTAACTTCATTACTCTGACTTCTATCCACCTACCCACCAGTCTCCACCTCCCTCCCTAGCCTGTTGGTTTCTAATAATGAAGTACCAAGGTAAACCAGGCAAGAGCCTGGAGTGCGAACAGAAGAAAGCACCTCTCCTCAGCCTCACCTTCTGCAGTGGAACACCCTGAACTGCCTGCCATGCGCCTTCTCAGCTGGGAGGGCTGTTATCAACGGTGAATTAATTTGGGCATTTCAATGTAGGAAGCTAAGGTGCCACATCACTGCATGAATACAGTGTGCTGCTGGCTTCCTCTGGATCATCCAGGTGTGCCTAGGCATCAAGGCAGCATGACTCCTCAGGGATGGGGCAGCCTTGTGGGGAGGGAAAGGGTTAACAAGCCAGCAGGGAGCAAAGACACAAGGGATATTCCAAGAGTGCAAACATAAAGAAAAGGCTAGCCTCTGGGCCAAATCCTTAGCTCAGTGGAACCTCATCCATCTGGCAGCAGATGGCCGTTCTATTCTAGACCCAGCCATTCCCTGGAGGAAACCTTTTCAAGTAACAGTGGTGTCGGCCCCATTCTCAATTTTCACCTCAGAGCTCGGACATCACTAGGATATGCAACTAGGAATACCAGAGACTCTTAGCTATTTGGAAGGGAGAAGGAACAGTTACTTACTTTATTTTGAGCTACTTATTTTATTTTGAATTAAAGGTGTTAATTACAAAAGAAAGAACACCAGAAAAAAAAATCATTCTAATAAAACAGGGCATTTAATGCCTGTCTCTTCCTTCCCTCTTCCAACTAATAAAGAGGAACACTGAATGGGCAGAGGTCTAGCAAACCAAATGAGTCCATTCTAGCAGGCTCAATAGGGAAGTTGGAAGAGTACTTTTCAGATCAAAAGGAGTCATCAAAGGAATCCTAGGCCACCATGCACCTTCAGCATTTCTCTCCTCACGGGCAAGATATCAGTATCCCAGGATACTAACAAGGCCACCTGGGATAGTGGAAAGGACAGTTACTCTACAAGTCAAGCTATTTGAGTGGCAGCCTAGTTCTGCCACTGACCTGTTGTGCCGTTTTGGGCCAGGGTGCTTAGCCTCTGAATTCCAAGATCCCCATATATAAAACAGGAGACAGTAATGTGTACCTAATATTCTTGAGGATATAGGAAAAGGAAAGACAGTGGAATGAATCTTACATAAATTTTCCTATGTACATATATGAATGTACATATGTGATGTTTTCACAGTGAATCCCACCATCATGTACATCCACAAGAATGAGATCCTAATAAGATATATTCCATGCTTATATAATTATATCAAAATGGGTTCTACTATAATGTATAACTATAATGAACCAATAAATAAATTTTAAAAATACATATTCTTAGCAGAAAGAAATGAGACAGTGTATGTGCACAATATATCACTTTGTTTATCCATTCATCCATCAGTAGACACTTGTGTTGCTTCCACCTTCTGGCCACTGTAAATAGAGCTGCTATAAACATGGGTATGCAAATATCTCTTCAAGATCCCGCTTTTAATTTTTTTAGATATACACCCAGAAGTGCAACTGATTGATCACATAATATTCTAATTTTAATTTTTTTGAGGAACATCCATGCTGGTTTTCACAGCAGCTGCACCATTTTATATCCCCAATAACAAAGCACAAGAATTCCAATTTCTCCACATCCTAGACAACACTTGTTTCTGGGGTTTTTGATAGTAGCCATTCTAATAGGCATTAGATGGTATTTTATTGTGATTTGCTTTACATTTCCCTAATGATCTGTGATGTTGGGCATTTTTTCATATGCTTGCTGGCCAATTTGTATATCATCTTTGGAGAAATGTTTATTCAAGTCCTTTGGCTTTTTAAAAATTCAGGTTGTTTTTTGTTATTGTTTTTATTGATACACCATAGTTTTAGAGCAAATGTTGAAATCAGATAATATGAACCCTGAAACATTATTCCTTTTCAAGACTTCTTGGATATATGGTACTTTATGTGTCCACACAAATAATAGAATCAGTTTGTGAACTTCTACTCCTCTTGAGACTTTGGTATGGTTTTAAATGTACAAATCAATTTGGAGAGAACTAACAGTATTGAGTCTTCCAATCCATGGACATGATATATTTCTCCATCTATTTTTGTCTTCTTTAACATCTCCCAGCAATGTTTCGTTTTATATGTAAGTCTTGTACACTTTTTGTTAAATTTATATCTAAATAGATTATGTTTTGGGATGTAACTGTAAAAGCAACTGCTTTAATTTTTTTCCAATTCTTTGCTAGTGTTATATAAAAACAACTGATTTTTTAATATTGACTTTGTACCACCTTCTTAGTTCTAATATTTATCTTCTAGATTCTTTAAGATTTTCCATCTCAACAGTCGTCATTTGTGAAAAGAAACTGATATGTACGACTCTTCCTCTCTGATTTTTAAGCCTTGTCTTGATTTTTGTTGTTGTTGCTTTATGGGATTGGCTACAATCTCTATCAAGTATAACACTGAATAAAAATTCTGATAGGGTACATACATATTTGTCTTATTTTTCACCATTAATTATGAAGTTGGCATTTTATAAATGCCCTTTATTAAACTGCAGAAGTACACTTATATTTTAATTTGCTAAAGGTTTTAAATCACAAAAGGGTACTAAATTTTTTCCAATGATTCTTCTGTATCTGTTGAAATATTAATATGGTTTTTCTTCTTTATTTTGTTAATACAGTGAATTACATTGATTGACTTTGAAATGTAAAAAGCAAACTGTCATTCCTGGGATAATATAGTTTGGTCATGATATATTATCATTTTTAAATATTACTGATTTTTTTTTCCTTTAATTTTTATTGTTGGTTGTTCAAAACATTACATAGTTCTTGACATATCATATTTCACACTTTGATTCAAGTGGGTTATGAACTCCCATTTTTACCCCGTATACAGATTGCAGCATCACATCGGTTACACATCCACTGTTTTACATATTGCTATACTAGTGTCTGTTGTATTCTGCTGCCTTTCCTATCCTCTACTATCCCCCCTCCCCTCCCCTCCCATCTTCTCTCTCTACCCCATCTACTGTAATTCATTTCTCCCCCTTGTTTAATATTACTGAATTTGATTTGCTAACATTTTGTTACAGATTTTGTGTCTATGTCCACAAGAGATGCTGGCCTATAATTTTCCTTTTTCGTAATGGATGTCTTTGTTTAGGTTTTGGTCAGAATTATTCTGAGTCCCTAAAATATGGTGGGAAATGTCTCCTCATCCTCTATCTTCTGAAAGAGTTTATTTCTTTCTTTAAACATTTTTTTTAAATTATCAGTGTAACAATCTAGGCCTAGAGAGCTTTTAGTGAGAAAGTTTCTTACAGAAAAGTTCTTTATTTCTTTACTAGATACCAATGATACTCACATTTTCTATTTCATCTTGTGTCCATTTTGGTACATGAAACCCTTTTCAAATGATCCATTCTACCAATGTTGTCAAAATTGTTGGCATAAAATTTCTTTAGTATTCTTTGATGTCTATAGACATCACCTACTTTCATTCTAATATTAGTATCTTGTAATCTCTTTCTCTATTCTTTTTTTAATTTGTTTTAATTAGTTATACATGACAGTAGAATGCATTTTGATACATCATATATAATGGAGTATAATTTCTCATTCTCTGGTTATACAAGATGTAGAATCCCACCAATCATATAGTTATATACGCCCATAGGATACATAGGATAATAATGTCAGATTCATTCTACTATCTTTGTTACCCCCTTATCCCCTCGACTCCCTTCACTCCCTCTACCTAACCTAAAGTAACTCTGTTCTTCCCTAGCCCCCCACCCCATTATGGGAATTAGCATCCACATATCAGAGAAAACATTTGGCCTTTGTTTTTTTGGAGATTGGCTAATTTTGCTTAGCATGATATTCTCCAGCTCCATCCATTTACCAGCAAATGCCATAATTTCATTCTTCTTTAAGACTGAGTAATATTTCATCATAAGTATATGACATTTATATATTTATAGAATTTTTTGACCCATTCATCTGTTGAAGGGCATCACAATTTGACCCAGCTATCCCACTTCTCAGTTTATACCCAAAGGACTTAAAATCATCATATGACAGTGATGTAGCCACATCAATGTTTACAGCAGCTCATCTCACAATAGCTAAACTTATGGGACCAATCTTTCTCTGTTTTCTTGATCAGTCCAACAGGAGTGCTATCAATTTTGTTGATATTTTCAAATAATTGCTTTTGGATTTCTATTTTTTTTCATTTTTATGTTTTTTATTTCATTAATTTCTGCTTTCACCCTATTTTCATCTTTTACATTTTTTAGGTTTCTTTTTCTAATTTTTTATCATTCCTAAAGATGGAATCTTAGGCGATTACATATAATCCTTTCTTTTTCAAATATTTACATTTAAAAATACAAATTTCCTTAAAAGCACCATTTTAGCTGCATTCCACAAATGTGGATATGTTCAGTTTGAACTTTTTAATGATCTTTTTATTTTGAAGTAACTGTTTCCCCGTCACTCATAGTCCCCAAATCTTCACATATTACCATCTTTATTCCCTTCCTTTTTTTTCTCATTTTTTTCTCTGAACTATATCTGAGTACTCTGCCAAAGGGATACCTCACCATTCAGCATGTTAGTATGTTTGTCACCAAGATCAAAAACACTCTCAACAAAAAAATAAATAAATAAATAACCATCAAAACTAAAAAGCTATGTAACTTCAGTGAAATTTCAGGCTCCATTTAGGTTCTATCAACTATCCTCATACAGTTGGCCCTCAGTATTTGTGGGTTCCACATCTGCAGATTCAACCAACCATGGATTAAAAAT